CGTGGATGAAACACGTATACAAAATACTGAATTTGTTAATCTGTGAATGATTTTAGAATTTGAATTTGTATCTTATGTATAGGGATATAATGGGCTTATTACAGGCCCAACAGAATGCAAACCCGATTTTTATCTCTTTGTTGAGAAAAAACCTTAACCGTTGGTTTAGGAGACAACACCAAATCACTACCGTTGAATTTAGTCGGTTCTGTCTGAATCCCTCCTTTTATTAACTCTTTGGGTGGTCTAGACTTTTGCTACCTTACGCTGTTCTTCCCCTTTTCGTTTCGAAATTAGGGTTACCGAGTTTAGCAGTGCTCTCCGTTAATTCCCCAGGTATGAAAAATATATGAAATTTGATTCTTTTGGATTGAAATTTAGTGTTTGTCGAGCTTCGATTTAGGTTTTTAGACCGAACTGATGCTTCCTAGTTTTGCTCGATGTCTGTCTTTATGGCTAACTTTTTCTTCTTTGTCTCAAAAAAAAAAAAAAGTCATCTTCTCGTCTCTAACCATGTTATCTTAGTGGGGTTTGATTGAAATTTTACTTTTTTGGTCGTGTTTTGCAAAGTATTCTCGTGGACACTTTTCTTATAGGTCTTTGAGTTAGTCAAGTGTTACGCTTCTCTAGGTTTTTATTGAATATCACGAGGCTATTGTGTTGTGGTTCTTCTTCTTGTATTGTATAGTGCCTAACAGGTTATGCTCACAATTTGTTGTGGTTTATTTGTCCCATCTTAATTTTGTAGTTGGAGAATGCCTCGCTATGATGATGATCGCTATGGAAACACTCGCCTTTACGTTGGTCGCTTATCATCGAGAACCCGTACCCGAGACCTGGAACGTCTTTTTAACAGATACGGAAGGTAGTTTTTGAGTCTTCTCTATCTCTATATATGAATGAATATTCTGATTTTCTATGTGTCGGGGATAGATGAGGGTTTGAATGTGCTTTTATCTTATCTATCTTCGTGGATTTCTGAGAATTTTGTTTGTTATTGTGCGAGGGACAAATGCAAAAAGTTAACACTATTTAAGTATCGAGGGGCATAATCTTTATCTCTGTTAGTAGTATACTGTGTTGTGGTAATTGTATCCATGAGGGAAAACTGTGGATCTAGGTTTAGTGTATATGTTTTTAACTTGAATGATCTTGTTGAAGGTCTCTGGGATTTTGCCTAAACCTGGAGGTGTTTGATGAATGGGTGGGTGGACTTGGTGGAAATTCTCGCCTGGTGTGTATAGAGCGCCTTGGCGATTCTGTTTGTAGAATTTGTTTTTACGTGTTTTAATGGAAATGGAGACTCAGTCTCAAACTGGTGTTTAGCAGTACCTTAAAAAGTAATGATGGCCTTACTTTTCTGCCAACAATTTCTTCCGCAGAGTTCGAGATGTGGATATGAAGCGAGACTATGCTTTTGTTGTAAGTAAAATCTTCTTTTACCCTGAGGTTTCGATTAGTCATATAAGAGTTATGTTGTTGGTTGTTTATTGTAAACTATGTATGATATGAGCAAATACACTCTTCTTCCTTTTTTTTCCCTCACGTTTCTGAAAACAGGAATTTAGTGACCCCCGTGATGCTGATGATGCGAGACATTACTTGGATGGACGAGACTTCGATGGAAGTCGCATCACGGTGGAGTTTTCCAGAGGGGTGAGTTGTTTGGTTCTCTATTTAGAGCTCTATCATTTGTTTTATGTATGGTGATGAATGTGTTTGCTAACGTCATTGATATCATGCTTGTCTGATAGGCACCTCGTGGTTCTCGGGATTATGATAGTAGAGGCCCACCTCCTGGATCCGGTCGCTGTTTTAACTGTGGTGTTGACGGTCACTGGGCTCGAGACTGCACAGCAGGGGACTGGAAGAACAAATGTTACCGTTGTGGAGAAAGGGGACACATTGAGAGGAACTGCAAAAACAGTCCCAAGAAGCTTAGGTATTTAATATTTATATGAAATCTTTGTTGTTAATAGTGTAGATCCTAACAGTTTCTTATTACCGTTAAATGGATTGTATGGCAGGCGGAGTGGAAGCTACTCCAGGTCACCTGTAAGATCCCGTTCTCCTCGTCGTAGAA